ACTATCAACGTTAAGAAGAACGTGAAGGGTGTGAAGCTGGTCGGTATGGAGGGTGGCACGCTGAGGAGACCGTCTTTGCAGGTGAGCGAGCTCGACGTCACCTCCTTGTGAATTCAAATTCTCGTTTTAATCGTTCTTTATCACGGTGAAATCTCGTTTCATCAACGCCTGGAAATTCCAATCCGTGTAAGAGAACGTCGGTTCGAATTACTGTGTAACAAGAACAGAATTTATCAGCGAAACTTCCCGGGAATTGATGTTGAACGAGGTTCTACCAGGCATCCAAACTCTTGGTTTTATATTTACGAAAAGAAGTTATATTGATTTTTGTTGTTGGATTAAACGCTTTTATTAAAACGAAGTTTATTTCAAGTTACCCCGTAGCCGAATCCCCGTTTCTATTCGTTGGACGTTGAAGGAGGATCTTCCAGTTTCGCGAAGATTTTCCTGAGTTTTTTCCTGGGTTTTTTATTCGGTAGTGTTTTGGTTTTTGCTAGATATTGTGTTAGATAATGAGGGATAGTGAGGTTTGATGTGAAGCGTCTTTAGGGCACGTTTTCACCGACACCGTCGGTGGAGCTTGTCCACATCTTGGACAGAAGACAGAGCAGTAGTTCGTACGGGCCTGGATCCCTTTCTCCAGTTCCTATGGGGATAGAGGCGTGCAAGACCCATGGGACAGCGTTAGAAGGACAGGGTGGAAATGAACATTGCAGGATTAAGAGAGGCATCGTCAGGCATCATAGGTATCTATAATTGACAAGTTATTCTGTTCATCGGTATTAGCGCTCATTAAATAGCGAACAGCTTCGATTCTTTTTATTTGCGGATAGATTCAAATAGCAATGGATAATCTTTCGTTTCGATCATGCAAAATCTGTATTGTCGTTATACGTAGAATTAGTCGTTGTACGTGTGTTAGTTGGTTGGCCATTGAATATTTGCAACAATAATAATAAGTTTTCAAAATCTTCAAAATTTAGCTTTAAGCTTCATTGTTTAGCGAATTTTAGTAATTTAACTGCTACGTAGTGCATTTAGTAACTTAGTTATAGTTCAAATCCTCGACATATATATGGCCCCAAAAAAGTATCTACGTTCGTTATAAAAAGTTAAAAGTTACTTTTATATCTGATACGAAAAAATACAAGTGATCTTATGCTAGTCTTCTAAGTCATATTCATTTTGACATTCATCCGTTGTTGCGAGTAACATATATCTGTACTATCTGTTCTATATTTATGCACTGCAAGTAACATAATATTTGCAACAGTTACTATACTAATATTAGCATCTCACGAACCCCACCCTTATGAAAATTTACACGTGTTTCCTCGATTTTCGAACACCCTCTCCGATCGTACGTTCAAACGTTTGCGCAGTTTCAACGACACGGGAGACCGAGCGCTGACGACGTTGGCCAGGCAGCCAACGTACCCGTCGATGCCATTGCGACCCGAAGACTGCCGTATGACCCTGGTGAAGAAAGACAGAAGAACGTCGACGATCGCTCGACACGGTTCTGTGACGAACGAGAAAGAGCTAAGCGGTTGCACAACCGGGTTCGTCGTTTGCAGTCCTACGTACAGCATGTACAGCTCGGCGGTGAAGAATTCCAACTACTTCGTGACCGACGACGAGGCGGTCAGCAGGTTTTAAACGCATATATTCGAAGGGAATGATACAACAAGCTCGTGAAAGTAGAACATTGAATCTATTTCAGTGTAAGTTAGACCTGTGCAGTTTTTCATAAAATATTGTTACAGCGTTCTGTAGGTTCGCTTCAAGTTGTAAAATGATGACACTCAGAAAATGCTAAAATGATTGAACTCAAATTCTCAAAAATTTATCATCTGGACTTCTATTTCTTTTTCAATCGTCTATAGCACCGTGATATGTCAGTATTTTTTTTTGAATCTGATTTCATTCACAGAGCTAAGTTAGGAAACGAGTAACAAACGACAAATCTTCTTTTCTCTCTTCACGTTTCTAACTATTCGGTAATTGCAAACTTCGACCAATTCGATTTTACAAGTTCGCTGTATCGTTTCCTCCGACTGGCACGCAACAAGCACCACGAGCCAGAACGAAAGGACAATCGAACTTCGCCTGATGAAGGCGAAACCCGACAAAACTCGATCGCGTCTTTTTACGTCTCCCACTTCTTTTTCTCGAATCGCCGTGCAACTCTACCACTGCCCGTCTTTTATGACTTTCTTAGGAAATCACCGGTTTTTTATGGAAAGAGCAAGAGGGGATGGTTTCCCTTAGTACCAAGTAATAAGTCCCTGATCCCAAGGTACCAAGTATTAAATCCTGATCGAAAAGATCGTACAATTTTGATGTAAATCTCTATCATCTGTGGTAACGAACAAGTGAGATCAAGGTGGAAAATATAATTGACGAAGATTGGGGAAATCGATGATTTATAGATCAGAGCAAGGACTCGTCTCATTGTCGGAGTAAGATCGACCGAAATTTATCTAAAATTTCTCTCGAGGAACGTTGAACTAGCGGTAAGGTTTTAATTAATAAACGATCAGAAAGTCGTAGACGTTAGATAAGCGAGACACGTCTCTCTTGTAACATAACTTATTGTTAGTTAATTTCCACGTGGAACATTCCACTTGCGAACCTTTCGATTTATCGTGAACGTGTTTCGTGATAAGACCTGCTATTGCTGTACTTAATCTACCACTCAGGAAAGTAACTTACCTTTTAACCGATTGATTTTATCAGATCTTACCAGACGAACGTGAAAGTAGCCGAACTTTTCGATCAAGCATTTACACCGCGAACATCCCATAAAAATTGTAACCTTCTCAACTCGTTTCTCATTCACCCGTTTCACGGTTGCTTTTTACGTTCGGCTGATAAACACAAGGAACAATGAGAATCTCTAAACGCACAGTTCCGAAAGAACAAAGTAGCAAACACGATAATCCGAGAATTGCTGTGCATTCCTGAACGTGTATCGTTTGTTCTTGTAAATCAGTGAAAGACTAAAACTGTATCTTTCTATCGAGTCGTTTATACGTACAGGGTGACGCAGGGTTGTTTGAAGCAATAGAATACTTGCGACGACTAAAAAGTTTTCGCACGTATTTATTATGATACCGATATTATGGTAACTAACTAGGTACGAAGATATTACATTTTTTTATCATTTAGTAATACTTTCATATGACTGTAAAAATTTGATATTACGGAAATGTAACGTAGAACCTGACAAAGAACACCTCATTGTGTACCTTCAATACTTTTTGTAGTCATTGTAAATGATGCAGTTGTCTTGTAATTCGCCAAGTTCGATTACAGAACAACTTTTGAGAGATTTACATTTGAGAACGGATTATTCACACTTGCACGGTGTGATTTTGATTTCTAATTCAAATAGCCTTACTGTAAAA